CATGGTGATTATATTATGATTCCCTCTTACAAATTCTCCTGTTTGCTAGCTCCTCTTGGTCGGTTAGCCTCTGGCTTTTAAGGCCTTCTCTCCTAGGTCAGCCCTACCCCCTTGTTAATCACACAGTGGGAGGGTGATCACAATGCTGACTGAGGCTAATCAAAGATGATCAAGGATGATCCAGGGAACAAAGGATCAAGCAGTCCCCAAACACTCAATCCCAACTGATTCTGTAACTTTAAATAACCTGAAAGAGAGAGGAAAATAAGCAGTCAAACAAACTACTAACCTCAAGGTTACTTCTCCTGAACTGCCTGTGGGGTGCTTTTCTCTTTTTAAGTTAACAAGAGATATACTTTCCCCAAATGATTGTGAGTCCAGTGTTAATATAGCATTAGAAAACAAGACTGCTAATAAATGGGTATAGAAGGGCAATGAAGGGGTGACCTGTCTCCTCTCCACTCAACCCCACCACCTTCCCTTCCACAAGGATCTGGGCTGGCAGTTTAGTTTAATAAGAAGTCAAGAAACTTTAATGAAAGTCTGTTTCATAAACACAGAGCACATTTGGGCTGCTCCCTTGGCGTGAGAGTCCAAAAACAAACTTAAAAAAAGAATTTTCCCAGTTACTTACAGAATCCCAAAAATCTATCCGGGATATGCCTCTTACCTCAGAGCCTGAGCAAATGAAAAAGGTTCCTTCCCAGAGTCTCATCAGCTTATAGCTGCCCAGTCCTGCCCTGGCCAAACTGACTCCCTTGTGGCTTCTCAGAGTCAATCTGTCCATCCTCCTTTCCCCAGGACTGCTTGAGTTCTCCTATAAGGAATCAGCTGCTTAAGGTTCCTTCTCTGTGCCAGATATCTCTGGCTGACTCATTTACCAAACCTGCTCCAGGCTTCAAGTCTCCTGCAGGGCAGCTCTCTTGCTCCATCTCACTTTGCTTTCTCACAATGGGCAAAAGAATTATGTTTCAGGAAAGGGAAGTTCTGTTGGTTATCAGGAATAACATACAGTTTGTTTACTATGCTCAATTAGAATCTTAACTAAACCTATGAACTCAAAATATTTAAATTCATTACTTAGAAGAAGTCATTTGAGGAGATGTCTTAAAACAGGCCAATTAAGGAATTTTAAGAATCTAAAATCCAATTAAATCCCTACTTTTTCTGTTACCAATAATGGGTATTCTCTCCAGGAATTCTAGGTTCTCCAGGAGTATAGGGTCTAACCATTTGGTACCTAAAAGGAGAAACCATTAACATCTTTAATTACAAAAGCATTTCAATATCACAATAATACCAATGACAAGAGTCTTTAAATCTAATCCATTGACAGCATTCTCGTTAACTTCCTCTCACCTCTTCTCCTTTCAGGAGGTTGTCCTTGGGGAGGTTTTCTTGTGGCTTCTCTGATGATAGCTTCTTTGTTCTTCTTTTGTATCTGTAGCACCTTGTTTGTAGAGGTAGACACATGAATTGATGAGTATTATGTGTCATAGCAGAGGCTGTGAGAGTGATGGGTGCTCACTTCCAAGTTTTTTATACTCTTCTTGAAACTATAAAAAAATACACTTCTTTCAATTTGGTTTATACTTAAAGTTGGCTGCTTGTCATCCTTTCACTTGCTCCATGCTTTCAAGTGTTGATTTTCGTGAAACCTTCAGTTTCTAACTATGCAGTCTGCTTAATGAATGAATAATGCATATGCTTCTAATTGGCTTTGTTCTTCTGTGGCAAAAGAGTACTAGATAATTTTTGGAGTTTTAATTCTTTCTTTTTATCCAGTCCATTTTCTGAGCTAGTCCTTCAATTTTATTAGATTCAACAGGTCATAAAATTCTGTTTGTTTTTTTCAAAAAGACCTAATGCTCCCGTTCTTTAAAAGTTTAGTTTTCTAAACAGTCTCTTTAAAATGCAATAATGTTTAAAGAGCATCTGTAGCTTATATAGTTATTAAAGAAGTTGTTGATTCTTCATAATAATTTATGGAGAAATGATTCCTTTTATCTTCCTGAGTTGGGTGAGGGAGTTGCTTATATATTGTTAAATAATTAAGTAATCCCCCA